ATAGGACCATGCTGTTGTACACATATTTCATTTTCACTTTTGGTGCCTTGTTTTTGTATTTCTGTTGCATACTTTGGCATTTCTTATTTTTTGGGCGAGTCGAGATGGTTCTTTTCGTCCTGACCTGAGCATTTCATTGCATTGTTGACCTTGTGTTGATCTGCATATGATAAATAAACCCAACCTAACCTAACCTAGATGTATGATCAGCTACATATTAACATGGCTACATGTTATTTCCCCTACAATTATTCAAGGAGGGTGCCATGCCCTGTTAACAGAACTAAGTGCCATCCATCCATGGATGGATGTTCTCAGCTCTGCATGGAGAACAGCTGATCTGCTGCAGCAGGAAGCTTATCCTGCAGCTCTGGGCTGCACAAATGTGCAGCAGGTGCTAAATAATTTAAAATAATTTATTTTAAATAAAAATTCCATGCCAGTCGTGCAGCTCATCCATCAATCAGCCGATGGTGTGTCATGTTCAATCTTATTTTGAAAAACTGCGATAAACGAACTGCAAAGTAGTGAGGGAGTACTGTACACTCAATATATCGCCCAGCTGTGGTGGAAATGCTACAAGTAACTGCTGCTGCTGTACTCTGTATTTGCAAATAACAGGAGAATTTATGTAGATTACACACAATACAATGTTTTTTTTTTTTATTGGTTGAAAGAAACACTATAAAATCTTTGAGATTGGAGTTGTTTCAAAGCTCAACCCACTTCAGTCTTGGCCCCAATAGGACTACCTGTTAGCTCGTAAGTCTAGTCAGTGTTAAACTCTTTCTCAGAAAATAAGGTTGTTCACAGAGATGTATACAACAAGATAGTGTTCATAACTTTAACATAGAATCAACTACAAAAAGTCTGAATTATTCCTTTAACATGTTTTCTACATCTCACAGTTCTGTTCACTAGCAAGGGGGTGACCGTGACTGAGATTAGAGCTTCAAAATAGAGGAGTGTGAACAGGAATAGTCGCAAAACTCTCAAGAGGGCTGACCACAAAATCACAAAGAGTCCTCCAGTCACATCCTTGTTGAGGTAAAGGCATTAAAAAGACAAGACCTGCACCCCAGCCACAATCCATTGCTCGTGGGATACCTTTTCAACCACTCCAGACAGTAAAGTTTTGACCTCTCTTTGCCCTAGCTGCCTTGCTGGGCTCACTTGAACACACAACGCTGTCCTTTGTGCATACGCTGCAGATCCCTCCTCAAATCGCACCCCATCTCAAATTCCATTTCACGTCCGGTTTACTATTGATTTTACCCTCAACACTATTCACAGGCTACACCCCCATCAAGCACACAAACACACCAGGTCTAATTTGTTCCCTGCTTTGGCCCCATTTTATTCTCCATCGTGTCCTTCTGTTCATGTCTCACACTTCTTTTTATGGCTGTGAGCAGCACATGTACCACACAGCAGTTTTTTTTCCTAACCCAGAAAAAAAGAAGAATAGTTAACATTTCGTAAAAATTGTAATATCTGCAAGCAAATGCACACATACTCAAGCATCTTCCTAAGGTGCACATATGCTTACCAGCATGCATTTTCTCAGTTTCCCTCCATGCAAATGCCACCTTATCGAAGCCATGAAGTGTGCAGAAAAGTAAATTAGAGCCCAAACAAGCCGTTGGGCTTTGAGGCCTATTTTTTGTGTAGGAGCCCATTTTAACTAGCAGAGTGACTCGTCATTAAAAATTCAAACTAGCACTGACGCTCAGGCAAAAAAGCTTAAATGCAACCAAAGAGAAAACTAAGCTACACAACGAGCACATGTGTGGGTAAGCAAAGTTGTTGGATTGATGGTGCCATGTGTGCGGGGGGAGGGGGGCAGCGTTCCGAGCACATTCCACATCACCTTTCCAAGGTCTTTGTGCTATACCTTACACACATTATTCTTTCACTCACTCTGCAAAACTGCAATGCTGTTTACTGGTCATGCTCTGACGACTCGCGCAATTCTTCTACCAGACTCTCACTTTATTATTTCGTAGCTAAATGCCCATTTCACCCCATTTTTCATTGCATTTTTTTCCCTTACTTTTTCCTTTTATGCTCTTTTCTCCACAGTACTGGCATCAAAAATCTAGATACACAATATCCCCTCCCCCTTGCAAGCTTTGAACTCACCTCAATCCTGTTTTAGCTAAGGACATGGCCATTGGATGCTGGTTAGACAGTTTAGTCGATACGCTGCTGGCCGGGAAGACAGACATAAATATATTGCCACTAACCTGCCCCTACTCATCTCTACAGGAACATAATGGGGTGGCAAGAGGAGCAGAGAAGCTGAGAGGCTGAGAGAGGAGAAGAGGAAAAAAAACAGAAGGTGGGGCCTGCCATTCTTTAGTCTGTGTTGTCAGATTTACAGGCCTATTGGATTTTAGACTAACATGAATCACTGCACAACGGAGGTATTACTCCCTGACAGAATGACAGAATAAATGAGACACATCACCTGGACTGTGTGTTTGTGTGTGAGCGAGAGAGAGAAAGAGAAGGTGAGGCGGATGAGAATAAGAATTGGGGATATATTTAAACGTCTTTAAGATTCCGCACAGCTATTTCTGAAGCAACAATGAAGCTTTGTAGGAATCCGCTCATGTTCACAGTCCTGCATATAATGTGTGTCTGACAAAAAACAGTTCTTAGGAGTTTAACTTGTCGTGACAGTGTTCTGCATGCAAATATCTGTGCTCACTGAAGATAATGGTAAGAAAGGCAGTCAGAGCTATCTTAAAAATACCAACCAGGCTTTAAAACTTGTTTATGAAAATGTTTTCTTATATGATTTATGGATTATTGTCACAAATAACTGGTAATATCAGAAAAATATATATGGACAACAGTCTATCTAACGATGTCATACCGATTGATAAGTAATGGTCATAAATTATAAGTATTATTGTTCAACCATTCATGAAACTAGCTCTGAAAACAAGGTTTCCTCACACTTATGAGTGAAAATAAGAAGAGGTTTGAATTGTAAAGATGGAGGAAGACGATAACATGGATCTCCATAAATTCGCAAATTTAATGTAAAGAACAAAATGTAGTCACTAGGGGTGCACCGATTTCCTTAATTTTGGGTGATCAGCGGTCGGTCGATACTTACATGAGAAACCGGTTTTATCGGGGTTTTTTTTGTAGTTTTAACAACAATTGCCTAAACATTTATATTTCTGAGCACTACCTCATAGCCAGTTAAAACAAGTTTGTATTGTTTCTAGGATACTGTTCAAGGGTATCCCTTGAAGGGTATCCCTATTCCCCTCCTCTCCCTCCTTCGCTTTGCTTTGCTGCTCTGTCCTGTCTGTGAAACTGCTCTCTACATATCTCCCGAACCGTAATTTTGTGGATCTGGTCAGTTGGTCTCTCAATGCAATGGACACAATTTTTGAGACAAGCTTCAAGTCCGGACAACACGGATGCAGTTGGATATGTCTCTGGAGGAAGTGTAATGTGATGTGTCTATCTCTGCTGTCGATCGAGGACGCCAAAATTACATCTAATTGGATTTATGGTAACAGGTTTCCTGTTTATGGAATTGTCTGGTTCCTGGTTTGTCAACATACAAAGAAGACAGCCGCAGCTAATCTGGCCTGGTCAGGCTGCTGCCTATGGGAAGGTTTGCTCCGTGTCTCGAGCACCCAGACTCTACCGCTTAGCGTACTGGATCGCAAATTGGATGTGATTTGTGAGAATCGCAGGCCATATGCGGCCCCTAGGACTCGCTGGCTGGATGGATCAAATCTCAGGGAATATTCTCCTTGGACACTCTCACCGCCCTTGTCCCCCCCCCCCACACACACACACACACACAGCATGTCTATGTCACCATGTGCTTCTATGTGCGGGGTGTTTTTTTCATCATCAGGGTCTTTCTTTTCAGCCAAGAAGAAAGAGTTTGATAGGATTTTTTTTGCCTCCAAATCCTAAGTGTGTTCACTTTCACTACTTTTTGTCTGTCTAAACAGATCTCACATGTTAATGAGTTTTCGAGGCTCACTGTGCTTTATCTATCTAAATAAAGGTTGAATGAAAAAAGGGTGTTTTTCAGTAAAATAAGATTGGAAAATTGAAGGTGCGTTGTGACCTTATAACACCTGACAGTGTCGCTTATCAAATAAAATCGACATTGACCAAAATCGGAATCGCCAGGTCAGGATTTTTAGAGATCGGTGAATGGCCAGAAAACTGCAATCGGTGCACACCTAGTAGTCACAAATAAACAATTTTCAGACAATAAAACATTTCTCTGCCCCTCATTTTTAGCAAAGAAACTAGGATTGGACTTATTAGGCTGTGGCAAAAAAAAAAAATCAGCCTATGACATCAACCACCAGATCAACTGGTTTGTGTCCAAAGACTGTTTGTAACTTTAATAGCTCTTTTAAAATAAACCAATGGCAATATACCTGCTGCATTTTCAACAAGTATTCTGGTACTCTTGTCAACATGATTTTGACTAGGTCAAACCATGTCACATTAACAAATACACACAGTAATGGCAAATTCAAATGGTGTTCGATCAGTTGAGAAATGTAACGGTTTAATCAATTATAAACAGCCCTGTCCGTACTCCAATGTCATATTTTTGGCTGCTTCCGCCCATATAACATCATACGATTGACACGCTAACATGAACTGTTAAGTCAATATGTCGTTACTTTGTGAGAAAATTATGACTCCATTAGGACTTTGGTGTTCCAACTTGAGTAATTTGCTGTCCAATATTGCACAAATGGCAGATGTCACCCTCAGCCTCGCTTTGCCTGTCACCTGTTTAAGCGATGAATGAATGAGGGAAATTAAGGCAAAAGTGGTCGATGCAAGGTAAAAAAAAAAAGAAAAGAATGTAATCTTTTAAACAGAAGGATGGAGAGACTTATGTCTCCTAAAGGGGCTTTTTTTTCTCAAGTGAAATAGGAGCCAAATGAAGACAAAGAAGCTACAATATTTCATTCTTATACTTTGATCCAAATTACCTTTTTAGAATTGGTCAGGTACGATCTAGCAGCTTCCTGTAATGCCTTCCACTCCTCCTGCTCCTCCTCCGTCACTCCTCTTCCTTCTCTTTCTTGCTGCTCCTTTGCTTTTTCCCACTGGAGGTAGCACACCCAGCCAGACAGATACCACACCTGGGAGACAAAGGATCACAGTTAGGCTCAAGTGACATCAGGTGCAAAGATAAAGTGCTCTGTGCTCCTGCGGGTGTTCTGCGTTGGCGTAAAAAAAGATTTGTGACCTTTACTGAGCATGTAATCCTTTCCTCTTTGACAAAGAGGTTTCAAACACATTATAATGAATCACACACTCAGTAATCACTCAGCCTGATCAAACCTTGACAAACACTGCACTCTTTGCAAATAAAAAATACCAACAGCACTGTGCACAGAGGAGCTTCTTAGGTGTGAATTCAAGCCTGTCATTGTGTCACTATCTATTTTTCTAAAGGCATTTTATAGTAACATTTATGTTGCAATAGATTAATTTACTCCCAGAACTGATCTGTGTGCAGAAGATGCTGCACACGTGAAAAATATGCTGACTTCACTTTGACTCCGAGATCAGAAAATGGAGCTAAAAATAACTGTGAGCAATTCATTCAACGCATGTTAATGTGAACATGGAGCTTAAAAGTAATTGTTAGATCTTTTAAAATTGGGTGCAATTGAAAGGTTATTAGTAATCAATAGGGTACCCATTATGAATAGCTCTTTGAATGACAACAATTTGGAAAAATAGAGTTTACGTCTTACCAGACTGATGAGCTATCGGCAAGCTCAAAGGTGCCAAAACCAAAGCAGGTTGATATAAAAACAACTCTAATCTCAGATATTTTATGGCAGGTCTATACACCATTTAACTTTTAACATCACTAATCATTTTATTTTACATGGTTTTTTTTCTCCCCCTCACATGATTATATGAGCTCATTGTGTTGCAGCAGCAGAAAGCTGTAGCACTTCCAGTGCAGCCTGAGGGGCACTTCAGGAAGGAGTATCATTCTGTATTTCTGCAGGAATAACCTCATAATACAAAGCTGACTGTGGCGGCAGGTTTTAAACAAGAACAAAGATTACATTTTTAAGATTGGAGTACAGTAGTCCCTCATTACTTGGTGGTTCGTTTTTCACGGACTCGTTCTATCGCAGTTTTTCAAAGTAAAATTGGACATGACACACAATTGGCTGATTAATGGATGATTTGTGGATTTTTTTTATTTAAAATAAATTATTTTAAATGATTTAGCACCTGTGTGCAGCTCACAGGTGCAGGGGGAAGCTCCCTCCTGCACTTCTCCTCCATGCTGCAACCCTTTGCTGTCCAGATGATCGACTTTTGTCTTCCAACTTAAAATTCAAAGTATGGCACATCATAAACTTGTCATAATTACAAAATATAAAAGTGTTAAAAGTTATTTTTAATTATTTTAGAACTTCTATGTTCAGTTATTTCAGTGTAATTCATCAAAAAGAACATCCTTCGTGCTGCATCAGCTGTGTGAAGGGTTAACCCTTTGCTGTCCTGCTGAGCTTCTATTCTCTATAATTTCAATTTAAATACTGCAATATTTTAAATCAATCCATGCTGCATGGATTGTTTATTTAAAATGTTACAGTATTTAAATTTAAATTGTTTATTTACACAAGGAGGAAGATTGGGAGTAACAGGTGATGAGTGTGATTGCAGCCTGACATGTTATGACAAAGTTTACTGAACTTGAACTGAACTTGGACTACTGTATCCCTAGTTCGTGGTTTTTCACTTATCACAGAGAGACAGGGTACGGAACACCCTTGATAAATGAGGGACTACTATAGTTTTAATATTGCAGAAATGCACTTTAGTCTGGACTCCTAACAGACTTGCTGCTAGCTCGTCACTCCGGTCAGAATGAAAACATTTCTCCGAACTGAGGTTGTTCTAAGTAAGTAAATAGGTAAGTCAATTTTATTTTTATTGCACTTTTCAATATAAAAATAACAAGGTGCTTTTTATCAAAAGAACATAAAAGACAGATAAGTAAAAGTAAAAAGAAAAAAGCTAAACTACAACCAGATATAACAAAGTGCTATACATACAAGTTTAACGAGCAGTATATAGATGTCCCTCGTCGCTGAGGAATTTGAGTAGTGAATGTTTGTAGATTTCAGGATGAGTGTTTTTCTGGACTGGAACTGAACAGAGAATGCAAGTGAACCTTAATGTTTTTGGTGCAAGATGTTCAAGTGGGTAGGAGTTACACTGTGTATAAGAACAGAGGTAAGGTATTTTTCTTGTTCGATGCAGCACAGAGTGATGGATCCTGGAGAGTGGAGGGAGAAATTTTATCCACGAGCTGGCACAATGGTGGAGCCAGAGTTTGGATAATGGCCAATTGAGGCCTTGGCAACCATAGATTAATTATTGGTCACCCCAAGGGCTGTCCCAATCATTTGAAAAAAAAAAAATGTTTTAAGCAAAATAAAAACTAGATAGCATAGTCTCCTCACATTATAGGGGTGGTCAGTTTACATATACCGATATATATATGGTGGTGGTTAGGCCTGTCACGATAACAAATTTTGCTGAGCGATTAATTGTCTCAAATGATTGTGATAAACAATAATATTGTTTGAAATTTGACAATAATTAGTAATTATTGTCAGATTTAAGAAGAAAAGTTGGTTAATTTGTTTTGTGTGTAGTACCCTTTTCAACCACCTGATGACAGTATAAGACTGTTTGAACAAAAGGATGAATAGTGAGGGAGCGAGCAGCGTGTCTCTTTAAGAAAAATGGGAGGGAGGCTCTTTGATGAGACATGGGCTGTCTCTCTTCAGTTCTCAAAATGGCGGATGCTCAGTGTGGTTTGAGCACTTCAGTACAGAATTTTTCACACAAAAGCTTTTAATTAAAAAAAAAAAACAGTAAACAAGTTCTCAGCTTCTTTTTGCAGAGAAAAACAACTTTTTACATGACGGCACAGGTTTCAACCGTGAATTTTTTGAGCTTCGACAAGATGGAGGTTTTTTCCCCGAGGTTGGCCTGTTCATGTGACAACCCAATTTTTGAAAGAAACATTTTGCCTAGTGACTGTGTGACTGCATGTCACACACCAAAATGTAAATCTGTACTTCACTTGTTTTTCAAGTTATCATGTGTAAAATGTGCATGTACGGAGGGTGTTTCCAATTCCCCCTCCACTCCATGACGAGGGACAAAAAGATGAGTCCAGTCCTGCTTTCTTGAATAAATCCACTGAGTCAACAGACTGTCAAATAAAGGCCAAAGACTTCCTGAGTCTGGCAGCGACGACTGCAAAGACTCTGTCCCTCTTTGCTTTTAGTCTTAATTTAGGCACACATAGCAGCCCTTGACTAGACAACCTCATGCTCTTGGTAGTGATCGATGACTGTAAATGTTCAGAAACATATAAATTGCACTATCATGCAAAACCTAAAAACCTCGAACTGAGCTCTGTATTAAACTGGGAGCCAATGGAAAGCGATCAGCAGCGTAACATTGGAGCACTTCAAGTCAGAAGCTTAGCATCTGCATTCAGACAAGCTGCAGACCATTCAAAGATCTGCTGAGGAGGGGAAAAAATGAAATTACAGTTATCAGTGTGGGATGAAATAAAAGCAGGAATGACCAGCTTCACCTCCACGCTGAAAATGATAGCACTCACGTTAAAAAAAACAAGAACAAATGACAAATTACTAATAAAATCACTCAGTTTATAAATTTAATGTAACTGGAAAGAAAACCCAGGTTTCCAACAATCTGACAAGCTTTCTGGAACACAAAGAAGAACTTCTGTTTCCTTCTCATTCAGCTGGATAAAGTTATCGGACTATTAGGAGCACCCTACAGGTAAAATGTTAGCTGCTCATCACCTTTTTACAAAAGCCCACTTCAGAAGATCTGAACTAGCCATAAAATGGTCCTTACTTACACAAAACCTTTTAACCTCAAGTTTATACAAAGACCTCAACAGTGTGCTTCTCATTCACACACACCTGTAAAGCACTTTGATTATAACTAAACTCTGTACATGAAGTGCCGTTTTCTTCTCACAGAGACATCGATAAGCATCAGAGTGTAACGGGAGGTACAGCATCTCGCTCAAAGACACCTGGGCACACTGCAGGGAAGAGGATTCTAACCTCCCATTTCCTGAATAAAAGACAACCATTCTACAGCCACCCCATCAGCTGGTGCATAGTGAGTCTTTCTGTCTAGAATTAAATTCAGTTTATTTATATAGCGCCAAGTCACAACAGAAGTCATCTCAAGGTTCTTTATTGTCATTCGCATCACATGTGGTACATAAGGTGGAATTGTGTACTCAAGGTCCCAGTTACAGCCCAAAATAGCAAAAATATAAAGTATAAAAAGAAACAGTATACAAGGAACTAAGATATCCACTAAACACAAATAATGTAAAATAATACGGTATACGGAGTATGTAGTGAGTAGATGGGTATGAATGAATACAGCAGTTACTCAGGGCACTGAACAGAAACATTCACATACATAAAAACTAAGCTAATAACATTAATTATCTGAGGAGCAGACTGCTTTGAATTTAACTCCATCACAGAACTCTCATCTTGTGCATGAAGGCGACAGTGGAAAGGAAAAACTCCCTCATGAGGAAGAAACCTCCAGCAGAACCAGGCTCAGGACAAGTGGCTATCTGCTTCAACCGGCTGGGTTTGAGAGGAACAGATACACAATGGCAGGTCGAGAATCATGTTAAGATAAAAATAATATCAAATGAAAACTAGTCAATTTTAACAGCTCATTTAAAGAAATTTTGTCAATTTGTCCTCCAGTAGTCTAAGTCTATAGCAGCATAACAAGCTAACCCCAACTATAGGATTTATCAAAAAGGAAAGTCTTCAGCCCAGTCTTCAAACTGGACAATGTGTCAGCCTCACAGACAGAAACTGGAAGTTGGTTCCACAAGAGAGGAGCTTGATAACTTAAAGATCTTCCTCTCATTCTGCTTTTGGAAACTCTAGGAACCGCAAGTAAGCCTGCAGTCTGAGAGTGAAGTGCTCTGTTAGGAAAATATGGAACAATAAGATCTGTAATATAAGATGGAGCTAGGTTATTGAGGGCTTTGTAAGTCAGAAGCAAGAGTTTG